ACTAAATGGTCGGGGCATTCTGGATTTTCGATTCACGAGTTGAATATTACATTTAAAGTTCAGGCTGACGCACACGAGGCAAAGAATACATAATGAAACACGTGATATTTCTTTTAGTCTAAAGGTGTAAATGTGTATGTGTGTAAATGTCTTTTTTCGGTGGACAACGTTAATGATATGGACTGTATGTGAATGTGAATCGGTTTGAGGGTGTTCCGTGTTGTCGTATGTAAATTCCGTGCTAGCACTTCAGAATTTTAAGAGCCTCACACAAAAAAGCGCTGAAAGTTTTCAATTATTGTACAGCAGCTGATCTGAAATAGTGGCGTAGGAATACAAACGTCTGCAAAACTGAGGGGGAGATGGTAGGGGGACGACCGCTAGCACTAGCTCTATCTATTGTTTTGAAAACACAAATCAACAACTATAACAACAAAACAAAAAACAAAAACAGGGGCGGCGGAACCGGGGGGGCCGGGGGGTTCTTAGCCATTGTTTTATGGCGCATGCGTCTGCAATCAAACAAAACATTGTCATTATCACATAGCGTTAAATATAATCTTCAGTGCCCCCCAAAGATTTTTGCAGTGCCCCCCAAAGATTTTTGCAGTGCCCCCCAAAGATTTTTAGCTTCCGGCCCCCCTGAAAAACAAACAACAAATATATATATATATATAACTCTCGTTGTGCCCCTCAAAATAAGGAACATATGGTAAAAAAAGAAAGTGTTTGACCAACATATTTGGAGCAGATAATGAGATTCAAAGACTTTTATCAGCTGATTGAAACCCAGCATTCGACACCTTTTCTAAGCTCGACAAACATATTGCATTGTGGTCTAGGTTGGGAACAAACAACACCACACAACGCATGATGACGAACAAAAGACGTATGTACCCAAGCTAGACCACAATGCAATATGTTTGTCGAGCTTAGAAAAGGTCGTGAACGCAGCTAAATCTCAAATCTCATAATTATATGATAAAGCTTATCATTATTAAACTTAATCTATTTATGTAGGTGTTCGGGATCGTGCTCCTTGGATTCGGAGCATATGCAGAGATCAGGTTTGGTCCTTATGTGATCTTCACGTCTACTAACTACGCCACTGGCTCGCATCTATTGATAGCTGTTGGTGTGATCATATCAGTTATCTCATTCTTTGGTTGCTGTGGCGCATGGAAGGAAAACAGATTTATGCTGATAATTGTAAGTTGGACATGGAGGAGTTCTTAGAAGATTTTGCACCCATTTTCATAATTGCGTACGCGACTTAGACAGCTACCAAAATTAGTCGAGTTGTCTGGGTTTTATACACCCATCAACTGAATTCAAAGCAAATTCATCATCATCATCATCATCATTAATATTATTTCAGTTCTTCGTGCTACTCTTCGTCCTGCTTGGCCTGGAGATTGCCGCTGCTGTTCTGGGATACAAGGACAGGGATGAGGTACGTGATCAATAGATATGGACACAGACTGGGATGAGTCGAAGAAATTGGGGCTCGGAGGAGAAGGAGGGGGAGAGGGGGGGGAGGGGGCTCTAAAATATTTTTCCAAGGAAACATTCCGACTTCGGTGGTTTGTTGAATCTCCGTTGGTCCGGTAATTTGATACTGATATTATTTAATACTGATATTATTCATATTGCGCGCTCGCAAAAATCAAATACAATGGTTTTGCATAGTCGAGGTGAAAACCCAAGAAAAGGTCGTTTGCAAACTCAGGAAGTTATGCAATTTTTTCTGGGAAGCAAGGAGACCAGAGATATCTGAGTAAAGTTCTTGTTTCGACATGACGAAGGCGGTTTGGTTCAGTTATTTAGGGCGCAGTTTCCATGAAGTCGAACCGATCGATTCAGSCGGCCAATTCTCAAATGGTGCACGCGCGCGCGTAAGTTCTTAGAACTGGATTAATGCGGCGCGGAGCAGTTCTAAGAACTGATGCGTACCATTTCAGAACTGGCTACTCGGACCGATCGGTTCGACTTCATGGAAACTGCGCCCTAATTAAATCGAAGGGAATGAAATGTTCAGCATCGGACCCCAGATCATGCTTGTGAAGGCGTAAAGACCGCTTTCAACTTGCTTCTAAGGATGCAGTAGGCTAGAGCTTTGCAGAGTTCAATAAACGTAACACGATTTTTTTATTTTCAACAGATTGAAGCGGACATCAAGAAGGACATCGAAAACAAAATCAAGGAGTATCCTACGAAATACGAGAAAGAAATCGATGACCTGCAAAAAGAGGTGCTGTGACTATCAACAAATCAATAACAACGGCAACACTAACAACAATAACAAGAGCAACAACAACAACGACAATAGCAACAATGAATGACAACAACAACAATGACAAAAACAGAAGCAACAAGAGCAAAAACAACAGCAGCAGCGACAGCAAAAACGACAGCAACAGCAGCAACAACAACAAACAACAATGACAGCAACAACAACAGTGACAGCGACAGCAGCAACAGCAAAAAAATATCACAAATTATGTCGAGAAAACTTGTTATTTCTTTTGTATTTTCATGTTAGCCTCGCGTCCAAGTTCTTTTTGAGAAGGTTCCATTTTGCAAGGAATTAATCAGGAGTTAAAACAAGCTTGTAGAAGAGGATCATGAATAAGAATCCTTGCTTGAGTTGCATCCATATTTAACTTGTCTTCTCATGGGCACCCTCTAAACAAAGGAATTATATTCAAGGGAATGACACGTGGGCTGAATGGGAAGAAACCTTTCACCCAAGCTAACAGGGATTCCTGTTTAACGTTGCACACGTAATAGAAATTCCTCAATGAGGTCATATTTTAATGTGTTGCAAGCGTTAAACTTGATATTATCACATCTATACTCCACAGTTCAAGTGTTGTGGAGCATCAGGACCAGAGGACTGGATATCAATTAAAAAACTACGATTTCCACCAGATTCCTGCAATTGTGAGGGTGTTAGCAAAGACCAGTGCAGCACTTTTACTCTAAACTACTACTACAAAGCGGTAAGAAAATGGCGTGCTTGTATGAGTTCTGTAAACAGTTGCATTGTGGTCTAGCTTGGGTACAAACTACACCATATAAGACATAATGAACAAAAAGATGCTTTTACTCACGGTAGACTATAATGCACCATGTTATCTACCTCACCAACAACACTTTTATTATTGCTTTTTACCTCGTGCAGTGCAGCTGAGTTGACAGCATTCCCCGAAAGGAATTATGGGTCAACCATTTTTGACTAACATTTTCCTAGCAGGGGCTGAGTACACTATAGATTTCTCTTGTCGATTAAAACGAAAATCCAAGCTCGTCTAGAGCATTTACGGATGAATTCAAAGTATGAAGAATTCGTATTTCATGGGTTTTCTTGGCGGAACATCGAGACGGAAATTTTTATCAATATACAATTTTTTAAGAATCCTCACTCATTGGTTGACCTTGAGTTCGTTCTGAAGGTCAACTTGGCTAGTTTTAGCGTTTTAGCTGCTCTTACAGGAATTTGGATTCAGTAGCCTGTGTTGTTTGGTGCTCTGCGATATCTCCCTATCAAACAGCGCATGCGCACAGGTTGCAGATTCCGAAGACTAGTAACATATTCTCACAATGTATTTTGACAGGGTTGTGCCCCGGCGTTAAAGACGTACTTCTACGACAAGCTTTTGGTTATTGCTGCATTGGCTATCACTTTAATCGTTATTCAGGTACGTATATATGTATGTATGTATGTATGTATGTATGGATTCACTCGGTCGCGGTGATCGATCAGCTACGGTGTCGTTCGGTCGATCTCTCGGGTCAACCGGATTGAAGCCGATTGAGCTATGCATTTTTATCCGTCGATATGTGGTCTTCAATTCTTTCTGGGCTGCCTTTGCTTTATTTTTTCGATATTAGAAAAACATTTCTTGTAAAAGTTTTACTGTCACTGTATATCCATTCTTCCATCAATCTAACTATTTCTCTTTCCGTCTGTCTGTTTGTTAGTCTTTGTGTGCATGGCTGTGTGGCTGTCTGTGTGTCTGTCTGTCTGTGTGTGTGTCCATATGTTAAACAATGAGTCAGTAGTCCGTCTATCCGCGTCGCCGTACTAACAGCACCCAACATATCATTTCTTGCAGATTCTTGGTATGGTGTTTGCTATGTTCCTGATCTGTAGAATCTCCTCCTAAAGGCTATCAAGTGGTCTTAATTAAACAGTAATTAGATATATTAGGCTTTAAACTGCTATAATTGAAAAGAATAAACTCTTTTCTTAATGTTAGTAAAACACAGGCTACCGAAAGAAATAGATATAGTAATAAAACTGAAACAACTCACTGACATATATTAAGTCGAAACAGTTAGGATACTTATGAATGATGTTTTGAAATTTGACAAATTGTTTCAAAATGCTTTTTTTTTTTCGTTTGTATAAGACAACCTTTAGAAAAAATGTGATAAAAATAAAAACCATTTCTCGGCATTCAATGGTGTGATATATCCGTAAAATCGCACTAATGAGCTCTAGACTTTTACTCGTGGGCATCTTGCAGCACCGGGAACGCAGCTCAATCTGGTTAGCCTGCGTGCAGCCGGACCTTTTAATTCGTGTGACAGTTAATTAGGCCCCGTTCACACGTGTCCGCAAATTTTTGTATCCGTATCCGCAAATTTTAAGAAAACGGATACGTGTGGACGGTGAAAACGATTCGAATACGCTGCGTATGGACGCAAACATTTTCGTATCCGCAAAAAATAATTTGCGGATACAAAAATTTCCGGATACGTGTGGACGGGGCCTTAGTTCGGTTGCACGCAGGCTAAATCTGAATTCTTCTGTTTTGTCCCCCAGATTGAGCTGCTTTGGCGTCACATGCAAGGGGTCTATAATCAGAAAGGGCTTATATTCGTGGGAAGGGAGAAACGGGGAAGGGAGAAGGAAGAAGGAAGCCGAAGGATGTTATAAACAGCAAGAATTAAGAGTTTAGGAGGATTAAGAGAAAACTTGTATTTCTTTTCATCGTTATCTTTTCAGCTGTCAATCTTTTATGTGCATCAACGATCGAAATTTCTAACCCATCCTTTCAGTCCTTCATCCCTTGTAAAATACTAACTTTGGTCAGAAACGCTTTTAATATTAATAATACATATTGGACTACTATAAGCCATGGCGAGGTTGGGGGAAACCAGGTCGAGTTGCAGGGCATTATGGGATTATTTTAGGCGCGTTAAAAGTCCCACAATGCAATGCAATATCAACTTGATCCAATTTTCCCTCAACCTTAGAATGGCTAATAAGTGACGCATTTATGTGATTTTTCGAGTCACTCGATCATTTTCCGCCATATTGAATAAATACGGAATAAATACTGAATAAATATATGTGGTTTGTAAAGACAGTCGTGTGGTTTTTTTTCGAGATGATATAACGGCGGGAAAATTATTTCATATTGGGTTCCCTGTGTCAAATGTTATTTGCATACTATTGATAAGGACCTCCATTCGACCAATCACGAGCGAATAATACATATTTAGAATGTTTATAATAGGTCATTTATATTGACTGCGTACTCTTCTACTTGGGTGGTGGTTCAGGTTTAACGAAGCTGTTAGAAATTGAAGGTACAGTTAATTTATGACCTTTTATGATCTTTTTGTGGTTTAAACTTATCTTTTATGTGGCATCAATTGTTTGATGTACAATTTACAATTCATTAGGCTTACTTTCTGCTCCAAATGTCGTAAGTCTTAGAAATTTTCGTGCACGATGTTAAGCTCAAAAGTAAGGACGCGTAAATAATCAAAACTTCGAATCCCTTTTTATTGTTTATCCTTTTTTGGGGTAAAAACCTTGTAAAATCTTACGAAAGATCACCAACATTTTGCATAATTTAATCGACCAGTTCAGACCACCTGTTGGCGAGAAAACATCTCGAAAAACTGAAAGTTGTCTTCAAAAAATTTGAATAACTTTTGACGCAGATTCACAGCGCCATAGCAAAGATTAATGCAGAGTTAAGCCCTTGCAGTATCCGATGATTTATTTGAAAATTTTTACTTAACTAAGCGACGATGCAGTTGAAAATTAAGCATTTGGAGTGTTTTTATTTTGTAATATTTATGGCCCCCTATAAATAAAGCGTTCCGTCGTACGTCTTTTTTGACGTCTCAACGGAAGGTGCTGCCAAAAACATCATTAAAGTGAAAATACTTACCTAGTCTTTTTGTCACGTCTTGAGTCTTTTCGCTTTATTATAATATACTATGACTGTTATTTTAGTTGTAGACAAGCTAAGTGCAAGACCTCTCTGCTAGTATAGCTGGAGGGTATATAGTTATAAAAGTTCATAAAAGGTTAACCAATATTAAGACGACAATTTTTAAGCTAAAAATTTTTTTACCGGTTTTCCAACACTTCCAAATGAAGCTTAAATTCAAATGAAACCAATTTTGTTATAGAAGATTATTGACACTTGACAGTGTAATTCAACTGAAAAACTTGTGGTCCACTTCAAATGAACGTCTCTAATAGTCAATTACCTGAAGGTCTAACCATTTGCCAATGTAATTTCATAAGGCAGTACCTTCTCCTCAGTCAATTTAAGATCGTCAAGCTTCTGAGTGTTGGCCCAGCTGAGGTTGCCTTGAACCATGACTCTCTTAAGACCTGACTGCTGGGCAGCAGTTGAAATGTTGTCTCAAATTCAAAAATCAGCAAAGAAAATACAAAAAGTACGTTATTCATGATCAGATCATCAATTGTTGCTTTTTATATAAATTTATATATTATACTATGGTGTAATAGAGTTGTGAACTAATATAAAAGCAAATATTACATTCCAATTAAATCTAATTTTCATGGCAACAAGCCAGCGCAACCCACTCTTATTGTGTTAATGGATTAGCACCTTTACTAGTGCATGCATTGCAAGAGCTTAAAGAAGTAATTATATTATATCTAATGAAAGTTTTTACCTATATTGTATAGCTAGCTATATACATATATAGCTTTAACAAAATTAACTGTACTCTATATAAGCTTGTATGAAACTATTAAATTAAGTATATACATTATTATATATTTCTAGATAATTTTTCTACATTTTCCAAAAAGTGTCACATATAAGCTGTAAATAGCGACCATATGTTGGTGTATATTTGTGTACTTTTTTTAAAACAACTTTGTTTTATTATATATATATACCCTATTGAAAAAATGTAGTCGGGTTCGAGAAGGTCATATCATCGAAGCTAAGACCGAAAAGGATTTTGGGTACGTTGAGATGTGTATTATATTTGCATATAGACATGTAAAAATGCATAGTAGAGCAAAGTTGGTTGACCATATATATAGATTAACAACATGCCAAAGCCATGATGCATAAAATGTGCACAGGAAGGGAAAACTGCAATACGCATAAAATTAGCATAATTGTTTGTCTTTCCATGCTCTCCTTCGGTCTTAGCTTTGATGTCATAACCTTTTTTTGAACCCGACAAGGTTTTTTCAATTAAGTGTATGCCAATGAAGCTCAGGATAGTGCATGCATGTCAAGTATATGCATGTATATATAATTAATATCATGAATTATAGCTACATAAGGTGTCATCCACTAACTAGCATGCATTCATGCATACCGATGCACACTTTTCTATAATATGAAATATATATGCACACATTGAATTTTTCATTTGATCTACAAATCTTTGTTTCACAGTTTTTTGTATCTCCATGCATTTTTCAGGTCTGCTAACTAACGTATCAACATGGCTGTCGAAGGAGGAGGGAGAATCATCAAGTTTCTTGTCTTGTTTTTCAACTTTTTGTTCTTTGTGAGTATATATTAAAGTATACTAAAAAATCATGATAACAATTTAAGGCTCATACGGTGACTTGGCACACATACGGTTGGCTGTCCATAAGGTGTATACAGGGTCCATGCTACTCCTTAAACTCCTTGAAAACTCCTTGAATTTAATTCACGTTTTCAAGGGCACTTGAAAAGCTCTTAAATTTTATGATTTTAGCTAAACTCCTTGAAAACTCCTTGAATTTTTGCTTTGATCATTACTTGCATGGTTCTGAAATAGATCTAGTCAGAAAGATTGGAAAATCTTAAAGTCGGCCATGTGCAACCACCGTGTAAAACCTTGGCATAGTTAGCTGAACATACTCCTTGAAATTTCATATTTGGGTCCTTGTATACTCACCTTTGAATAGTCCTTGAATTTTAAGTGGTTACCTCAGCACGAACCTTGTGTATATGTACCCGGGGGTACTCTTGCCCGTTTAGGGTAGGGATGTGCCGCTGAGCCCACTGAACTCTGACCCTGTTCCAGAGTAAAATCTCTGAAATTCATACCCTGTTCTGGTATTCTGAAAATAGATACCCTGTTCCAGAGAGGAGAGAGCGTGATTTCATATACCCTGTCCCAGAGCAAGCGCAATTTCATTTACCCTGTTCCAGAGTAGAATCGCTGAAAACCATACCCATATGACGGCACGTACCCATATAGCAAATATAGGAGAGTATCCCCCCCCCCCCCCGGTATATGTACCACATGTATACACACACTACTGGCTGAGAACCTGTGAGAATCCCGTGAAAAACCTGTGAAATTTCAAAAATACAGACATTTTTCACAGGATTTTCACAGGTTCTCAGCCAGTAGTGAAAGCTTACAAATTGGCACTCCAGAATAAACTCTTTCTTTGAAATCTTCGGATTTAAAATGGCAGAACGAATTTAATACTCAAGGAAAATATAATGACATGTGATCTAAAACATTTCAAAAGCTTCACACACAAATTTAAAATTATTTTATTAATCTATTGCATATTTTTTTACAGTCTCTATATGTTATATAGAAATTGTCAACCTCATTAATAATTCATGAGGAAAACACATCAACAGAAATCACGACCGTGAAGAGTGTTGTAAATCTGATACAAAACTGTGTTCATTTGCATAAACTTTAAGTTGGATTTTCTTGGCCAGATTCACTTTAATTTTGAAAATTTTAGTGAAACACAATTAAGGAACTTATAGTACACTCAACAAAATTACTCGACTCTGATTGGTCAAGAGGAGTACAATTATAGCATTAATTGTACTCCGTAGGAGTACCAAATTAAGTCGCTATGGCAAAACGGCCAAAACAATCAAAACAATTATTTTCTATCATTTTGTACTTAAAAAACATAAATAAAATTTTAAAGCCGTAAGAACTAATCTTTTTTATGCATTTCAGTTGCACGATGGACTGGAAATCGGCCACCAAATAGACAAAGATGAACGGCGTCGGTTCGCATTTTTTACTGAAATTTTGTTGAGTGAACTATAAACAAAAAATCACACGATCTTCTCGTACAATTTGGAATTAATAGACACTCGTAATGTTTTGAAAGTTCTTTAATTGTACTCGCCTAAAGGCTCGTGCAATTACATGAACTTTCAAAACATTACTCGTGTCTATTAATTTCCAAATTGTACTCGAGATCGTGCGATTTCCTATACTAATCAACCTAGAGGTTTGATGTAAGCAATCTACAGTATTCGTGTCCGTGTTGTATCAGATATACAAACTCTTAACTAACTCCTCGAGTTTGTATTTCTGATACAACACGGCCACTCATACTGTATATATTACGAATTTAAATTTTGAACAAGTTAATAATATTTCATAGGTATTTGGCATAGTGCTTCTTGGAGTTGGTGCATATGCTGAAGCAAAGTATGGCTCCTATTCCGGCATCTCTAGATCTGACTTTACATCTGGTTCACGCCTCGTTATTGCAGTTGGCTTAATCATTGCTGTCATTTCGTTTTTTGGATGTTGTGGGGCTTGGAAAGAGAACAAGTGCTTTCTGATCATTGTAAGTATATTCTAGTGCACCCACCTATTTCACAATTTCAAGAGTTTATATAATATATATGGATGAAAAAGCTTCAATTTTTGGAATTCCAAATAATTGAAGTAATTTTTAAAAGGATGATATTAATAATATGAATCATTTATGATTACGAAAACCAGATTAGTGAATATTTTAGTCTGGAATATAATTGAAGTCACTTGCAGTTGATTGCAATTTTGGTTTAAAAGTGGAAAGAACAATAGGGTTGAGTAAATATAAATGATGTCATTTACACACAATTTAGATGCTGAATAAAATTGTCAATTTTTATCTGCCACTTTTGACTGTAGGAAAAATATGTTGCTTGGCTACTATATATTGTGGCCATATAAGATTATAATAAGCTCAACCAAGTTTAAAGTCATTTCCAATTTTCATTGATTTTCATCCAAGGGCCCCTCTAAGAAAAGCATAGCTAGGTGGCATAGTGCAGCTAATGTGTCCACCACCTCCTCGCCAACGTCTCCCCAGTTTGCACTTAGCTCTGTGTGTGAGCAGAGTTGTTTGTTAGTTAATTTTTTACCATAACAGGTACCAGGTACGCTCCAGAGTGCCTTTTGCTTTATTGAGAGATCTGCTTTACTCTGTCCCAGGGGTTCTAGAACAGTCAGACATTCAAGATCAAATGTATAAGAAACTGACTTTATGAACTCGATAATTGCTGCGGAAGATTTTGAATTTTAGGACTATTATTATCGTAATGTTTATACTCTATGTATTTTAGGGTTTTTTTTTATATGAATGTTATCTATTTAGTATCAATATTTGAAATTTTTTACAATTATAATCTACACTCTGATCAGTTCTTAACAAATTATGATCTTGTAAATATTTATTTCTTATTTTACTTCAATCACATATTTTAATATTATTATATATTATTATTATTATTATTACATTATTAATATAGTATCTAAGGAACAAAATTGAAATAATTTTTGGAGAAATAACCCCCCACCCCTTCACCTACCTGCCCCCCTCACTGTCTAAAGTATCCACCTGTTAATTATCTTGGTTGTATATTCCTTTTTTCAGTTCTTTGTTTTGTTGCTTGTTCTCCTGATCCTGGAGATTACTGCAGCTGCTCTTGCTTATCAGCATCGTGACGAGGTGAGTATTTAATCTTGACCAACAAGGGAGAGTATTGCATTTTTTGTTGCCATAATAGCAATGGGAAAGGGAATCGAGAGATCTAGAGAAAGGTAGAACTAGTAAACAATTAATGAAGGAAACCCTTCATTGATATAAAAACTGAAATAATTTTACAGCCAACATTCCTCATAACAAGCTCTTTTGTGAGGTTTGCTCCACACATGGGATAAGGAACATGGTGCATTCTGGTCTAGCTTGGGTACAAACTTCTTCTGTTCACCAGCCCTTATATGATGTTGATCATGCTAGACCTGGGATAGGGAACAAAGTGCATTCTGGTCTAGCTTGGGTACAAACTTCTTTTGTTTACCAGCCCTTATATGGTGTTGATCATAGCTAGACCTGGGATAGAGAACAAGGTGCATTGTGGTCTAGCTTGGGTACAAACATCTTTTGTTTACCAGTCCTTATATGGTGTTGATCATAGCTAGACCTGGGATAGAGAACAAGGTGCATTGTGGTCTATCTTGGGTACAAACATCTTTTGTTGACCAGTCCTTATATGGTGTTGATCATAGCTAGACCTGGGATAGAGAACAAGGTGCATTGTGGTCTAGCTTGGGTACAAATATCTTTTGTTCATCATGCCTTATGCAGTGTTATTTACACCAAAGYTAGACCAGTATGCACCACCCTTTTTAATGCTGCTTGTATTTTGATGATATTTTTCCAGATTGCCAACACTCTCGAGAAAGACATCAATGACACCATAGCTAACAAGTATGGCAAGGACGAAAAAACTACAAAACTTGTTGATATGCTGCAAGAAAAGGTAAAATGGACTTTTTCACTCCTGTAAGGTTATAGTTAGTGTAACCATATTCTTTTATCAGGAAGAGTGTTGTGTTGTACTGTTTTATTGTGATAGGATAGGCTGGGTCCCCCTCTGGGTGCGTAGTCTTTGGGGGGCTGCATAGTGTAATCACAGGCATCCCAGACCTCCTATATATCCTATATTTCCTATAATTTGTATAGGATCCTATAAANTAATTCTGCAAATCATTGCCTGTGCACCCCAATACCTGGTTACGCCACTGAAAAGCTATCTTAGCTACTATGAAGTGCATATATTTTTGGGAAAAAATCCTATATTTTCCTATATTTAGAACTTGCACAGCCTATATTTCCTATCAAATTTGTCTAAAACTATAAAGAGCCTATATTTGAAGAAAACCTCCTATATTTCCTTTTTTTTTTTTTTTTTGGTTCTGTTTTTATTATGGCTTTTTAATTCTGCAAATCATTGCCTGTGCACCCCAATACCTGGTTACGCCACTGAAAAGCTATCTTAGCTACTATGAAGTGCATATATTTTTGGGAAAACATCCTATATTTTCCTATATTTAGAACTTGCACAGCCTATATTTCCTATCAAATTCGTCTAAAAAGTGGCTGGGATGCCTGYAATCAATCAATCAATAGTTTATTTAAACACGTGTCGTCCAAGAGGTTATAAAGCTCGTTCAAAATACGAACGTGTACATATTCATCCTCTTCTGTAAGGTCATAATATATAACCACATTCTTTTTAAAGAAAAAAGTGCATTGGTGTCATGTTGTAACATGATGGGATAGGCTGGTTCCCCTCTGTGTATTGCTTTTGGGTAGCCTATATAGAATACATTTGTTAGGTTATAATTACCACTTTTTGTTTACAGGAAAAGTGCTGCGGTGTCCTGTCCTACCGTGACTGGGTCCTTAACCCCAAGTACAACATCACCTCTGTACCAGACTCCTGCTGTGTGAAGAAAGAATCTGGTTGTGGAGCAACGTTTTATGATCCCAACAAGCCAAACGATTTGAGTAAAATACACCAGCAGGTACTATCATTATATTGTTAAGCCCCGTCCCCACACCCTTGACCCCCCCTACCCCCTACCTAGACACACATTGGATGAAAACATGAAAATCTGAAAAGAGTCTGGCTATGGAGCAAAGTTTTATGATCCCAAGAATCGAAAGGATTTGAGTAAAATACACAATAAGGTAATGATACAGCTTCAGGAAACGAAAATAACGCTCCCAAACTCGCCAACTTGGAAGGCCACAAGTTAATCAGTTAACAAAATTACTGTCACGTGTCACCCTCATTAAATAATCTTCAATCAATCAATCAAAAATGCTGGTGAAATTTAGTGATAAGCGAGTGACAAAAAATTTAACTAGCTAAGTTTTTCGAGTATGACCACAGTCCAGAAATTGAAGGACTGAAAAGTTTAGAACCTGCATCAAGTGACGTTTGTTATTCACTGCGTCCGATCGCTAGTGACTTTGAAATTTTTGCTAAAGAGAACAAAACTTACTAGCAAGGTTTTGCTAGTGGGTTTAAATGTTAATTTCGTGCCTTACAGGTTTTTCATAAAGTTTCAAAATAATATAGTAGACGACTGTGGTAATTTAACCCGGAGAACCTTGCCCAGTTACTGGAGCATTCTTCGATCTTCGACCCTTAATGAAAATGGTATTGAGTAAAGTACTGTACCCTCTCCCTAGACCCTTGAACTACCACCTAGAAGACACCCCATAGGACAAACGCACGTAAAGGATGGGAATAAGATGAGATTATAGGCAAAAGATGTTCATTCGATTGATTCACTTCAGGTTCAGATTTCGCATGAATTTTTTTGTGTGCTTTCTATTCACTTTGGATTCATGTTTCATGTGAAATGTTCAAGTCTTTTTTGTGGAATGCACCTTTCGGAAAATTGTTTGTGAGGGTTACATGAAAGTAGATAGAAAAGAAATGCAGAAAAAGTGATTTCTTTTGCATGGGTTTTTTTTCTGTTAGCCACGCATCCCACGTATCCATGATACTTTTGAAAAGGTTTCATTGCAGGGGCGTATCCAGGATTTGTAATTCGGGGGGGCTTACATACCATTGTCACTATGACGTCATATGACGTCGATATGACGTCATAGCAATCTATTGTTTTGTGAGGTTTGTGTGAGGTTTCGCGGGCTTTTTGCTTTTGGTAATGTGTATCGCCACATATAGAACGTCTTGATCAGGAAGCCCAATGGATAATTTCGATTTTATACGATTTTTATTTGAAACAAAACGAAAAGACGGCTCCGAGTAGCGAGAAAACTGATTTTCTTAACTGCTTAAGTTAAGTCTAAACAAATCTTCACACACTGCATCAACGTCCGGTTAGGTTTTTTTGGCTTTGAAAGGGGGAGTCACGGGCACCCTGTGACCCCCCTGAATACGCCCCTGCATTGGTAAAACATGTTGCAAGTGTTAGCCTAAGGAGAACCACGAGAAATAGCAGACTAGACCAATCCCAAGTGCTTTATAACTGCACACTACTTACACACCAAACAAGTATTTTATTCAAATAGTTCCTTGTTGGTTGTTGTTACATTCATGATAATTTGTCTTATCAACCATAGATTTAATACATATGTTCCGAGCTTTCGAAAGCTTTCCGAAAGCTCGGAACATATGCATTAAATCTATGGTTGATAAGACAAATTATCATGAAGTATTTTATTTCTTTTAAATAATAAGAATTAGAATACAAAAGCCATTATTCTAGACACAAACAAAGAAAATTAGAAAGTGTGCAAGTGCGAAGTATGTGTATACCCAGCCTATGGCCACAAAGGATTATTACAATTACTCGTTCTACCCAAGAACATTTTCTGAATGGAACCAACTCCCAAAGAAAGCAACACTAGCAACCTCACTTGCAGCATTTAAAAATGCAGTTGCAGACATTTATTAGCATGTTGGACAATTATTATTTATTACTATTTATTCTATTATCAATATGTTATTATTTAATTATTTTAATAACTATTACGCGTTGTCTAAATTGCTCAGTATTGAGCGAATGACCTAACTGGTAAATGTAAATGTAAATGACATGGTGTTTGCCGTCATAAATCACTTGCCACCAACCAATTAAAAAGAATGTTATTAATAGTTTTTTATAATAAATTTTGTTTCATGTTGTTTTGGTTTCAGGGGTGTTATAATACTCTCAAAGACACGATCATGAAAAACCTGAAATCTGTGGCTGGGGTAGCAGTGGCTATTCTCGTCATTCAGGTTAGTTGCTACGGAAACCCTTGCTGTTACTTTTCTTGGCTAGATCAGAATTGTCAAGGCGCGTTAGCAGAACTTGTATGTGGCTTGGTTGGTTAGTGCGCTGCCTGCTAAGCAAGAGGTCCATAGTTTGATCCTCAGTGACCTCGCACAATTGTTTTAAGAAGCAAGTGTGGCTTGGTTAGTGTTGTGCCTGCTAAGCAAGAGGTCCAGGGTTTGATCCTCAGTGACCTCACACACTTGTTTTAAGGGGCAAGTGTGGCTTGGTTGGTTAGTGTGCTACCTGCTAAGCAAGAGGTCCATAGTTTGATCCTCAGTGACCTCACACACTTGTTTTAAGGAGCAAATGTGCCTTGGTTGGTTATTGTTCTGCCTGCTAAGCAAGAGGTCCATAGTTTGATCCTCAGTGACCTCACACACTTGTTTTAAGAAGCAAGTGTGGCTTGGTTGGTTAGTGTGCTGCCTGTTAAGCAAGGGCTCTATCAAGTTTTTATTGGCGACGTAAAATTTAATCAGTTGCACAGTATGACCCCAAAATAATAACCTTTTTTCATGAAGAATCGATCGGCATGATACATGATTTTTCTTCCTAAATTAAAACTATTCACTCTTAGTTGCTTTTTACGACTTTTGTTTTTCTTTTCGTTTCCCTTTTTCTCTTCTTTCTTCTTCCTTTTTGAATTTTTCAAATTCTTTCTCTCGTTCTTTTTTCTTCTCTTCTTTTTTCACTTCCTTAGTCCTTCTCGCTTTCTTTTACTCTTTCTGTTATCTTTTCACATCAGCTTCATCTATTTTATCGTGATCTGCTGAATAGAGTGGCTTTCAAAAACCCGTGAAATACACTTTAGCGTATTGCACTTTAATACACTTTATTGTCCGCATTTTCTTTTGATTTTCTTTTGTGTTTTTGGTGTATTACAATTTATTACACCTTAGTTATCACACTTTGTTTTGCGGGTTTTTGAAAACCAATRTGATAGAACCCCTGCACTAATACGAAAATAGAACGTTAGTCATTTAGTGGGATAGGAATTATATTAAAAAACAAAAGAAGATCACTGAAGCTGAACTTTTTCTTTTGTCTTTTAATGTATTCCTTTCTCACTAAATTACTAATGTTCTATTTTCGTACTAGTGCAGGGGTTCTATCAAAGTGGTGTACATTCAATTTATGTATTCCTATTTTCCCCCAGATCCTTGGTATGATCTTTGCGATATGTCTAGTCCGGAGGATCGGAAAGGAAACTGCAGCGTAGACAGCATGGTCTGGCTGAAACCACTTCTCTTGCACTCACCAGTCACTCATCCACATCTAGTTTTCTAGACGTATTATAAACTAATATTCGATCCAATATCCCTTAGCGATGATAATTATTACATAAGCGTGTCAAGGGGGAAAGAGATTCAAACTTTCGTCCCAGTCCCCACGCACCCCTACCCCAGAGTAGCACAAAACCTAGACTTGATATAGCAAGCCCCCTCCCATCCCAATGCCCCCATGGATTTATCCACAAAGAAAAATCCCCCCCCAGCCCTCTTAAACTATAAACCTTGCGTGGCTAAAACACTATACAGGTAAACCTTGCGTTGCTAAATAAAATTGCATTTTATAGACATCAGTTGAGTTTTTCTGTAGTGATAGACGATGCAACACTAACAAACATGAATAAATTTTTTTTCATTAAAATTTATTTTGGTTTCTATAATAAAAAGGTTTTGTCTTTTTATCTTTATCCTTTTCGCCGAAATTCTATAGAGAGCATAAATATTGAGCGTTAAGATTCCACAAAAACAATTCTTTAAATTTATAAAGGCTGATAGACGATCAGGAGCCAAACAAATCCAGTGAGTTTCAATTGTTTTGAAGCAAACTCATAACGACTTCCAAAAGTAAAGAGTATTATTTTGCCTCATTTAAATTTGAAAAGGTTCGTCGCTCAAGCCGACTGTTTTTCATTGTAAACACAACACTTGCACTATCAATATTCATTATTATGACCTCATACTTTACTTCGACGTTAAAAAGTCTTGTCTGAGAGGTAACCTTGGTCGAAGACGGAAGGATTACGTCGTATCTAGCTCCCTTTATTGAATCTCCGTTGGATTTTTACCCCCAATTTGTTCGCATCATCTAGCGTGATATCTGTTTGGTTTATGGTTGACTGAATTGGAAAAGGAATTTCAAAAAGGTGACGTAGATATAGATATATATATATATGCATATCATGAGATATTAAAGCTCTTGGTGCGTATAGCTTAGCTGTCTGTCATTCAGTACATCCGTTCATTGAGGACTTCAGAAGGGATATTTTAAGAGACGGATCCGGGTAAGGAACTAAAGTAATGTGTACTTTAAATTGCTAGAAAGAATGCATGGGCTCTGCCTCACTACTTGTAAACTTCCTTCAATCATTATGCGTCGAAGATCACTCAGCCATTCGCATAGTTTACCACATGAATTATTGACATCCTTATTATCAAACGCCTGTTCGCGTCTGTTCAATTCCCTTAGAAAACTTGAGCATCGATTTTAATTAGAGGCAGGTTCATTATTCAAACCATTTTCAAGTATGATTTCTCCCAGGTTTCAGTGTTCAAAATAGCGAGAAAAATTGATAACTGACTTTCGCATTTTCACAACTAATGTAAAATACTATAAATATAAATATATAATATTGTATCATTGAATTTAGCTTTCTGGATAAACCATGGCAAGTTTTTAATGTCTATTTATTTCCTTTCAAAGTTTTAAGAAACTTGCGGTCTTTCGACAATGTCTTTTATTATATATTTATTAATTTTCATTTTGTCCAAAGCTAATCAAAAATAAGGGATGTATACTAATACATACATACAATCACTAGAATACAGAATTGCTCTTGAAAAGTGCGGAAATATTGTGAAGCACTCTTGAAATGATATGTTGATCTTCTTAAGTACTATTGAATTTGTATATTTTAAAAATCCATAGTGAAAATGTTTGGGCGATAAAACCAGAAAATAGCTTCAAATTTGCATTTTGAAACTGCACTCTTATCATGAAAAAACCCCTCGGGGTAATGGACTAAGATTTTTCATATTTCATTACGACGCACTTGACGAAAGCTTTCGAAACTTCCTTTTTGAGCGCGATGATGGATCATTTATTGTTGTTCAGACTATCAACACCATCATTTTAAAAAATCTTATTAAATCTGGGTGCAAAACCCTTCATCTTATTCCATAGAAATGTTTAGGAGTCAATCTTAGTGAACGCAACATGAGTTTGGAGTCTCGCATTTTTAATTTCATAAAATACAATTAACACACAGTTGTACTTCTTTTTTCAATCTGAGTACTATATATAAAATGTTAGATGGAATAAAACCTAAAAAAATGCTGGCTTCGCCATTTATTATTATTATATTTTTGGATAACAATTTAGATGGATCAAAATATTAATTATGAAGATGGAATTATTTAATTGTAGTTCTAGAAGTATGCCAACTCGATAAAATGCATAGTTTCTAAACGTGAATCAGTTGACGTGAACGTATAGCGAAGCGAAACCAAAAAAGCCAAACTTAGTAGAACTTGGCAAGTGACGGGCTATGAAACTATTTCCCTTTTTCATTCGTGTTGTTTGATAGATTTGTTAGATGTTTATTAACTTTTTTTTTATTGCTAATAGCAGAATAAAAGGACTGATCGACTAATTTCAAGCTTCAACGACGAGCAAATCACGAATCTAGTTCTTTCTATAAAGATCGAAGCGAACACTTTTCGCTAACAATCTTCCGCTTTTTAAGAAGTTATACATACAATATGCATGGCCGTGTTCAATATGAAATATAAACTCTGTCGTATTGGCCGGGATAAAAGGTTTTACATCGCATGTAGTTATTTCGTGTTTCACTATACTTTGCTTGCTAGCAGAGTCTCCATGGTTGACGATTCTTGAAAGAGCCTGGGAGACTCCTCTCCTATCTTCTCCTTGCCAAGAATCGCCAACGAACGAGTGAGATTCTGTTAGCAGGGAGATTTTCAAAACTAAAGTGAATCTGACCAAGAAAGTAAAAGTTAAATCTTATAAAAATAAACATGATTTTTTATCAGAATTCTAAAACTCTTAATGGCCGCCAATTATTTCTATTGTGTTTTCCTCATCAAATTCTCAATAGTTTAATTTTCTTAATCCACTTTTTTGTTTCAGTAAAAGACTCTTAAGTTCCAAATGATATACTACTGACAAATTAAAGGTTTCAATAGCCTGTCATTCGTTGTACGTATTGATAGACAAAAGAATATTATGTTCCGCTAGAGATGCTAAAGAACAAAAAGGTCTCAGCGTACCATATCATACTTGAATAACATTTCTATATATATTAGGACAACCGGTTGCCGTTGGCAATGAAGTCGTTTCCGTTGTCGCTGGAAATTTTCTGAACATGTTGCAAATTTTCAGTAGATAAGAATCGAAGTGTACTTGGATGGTTGAATGTGGAAGGAAGTGTTTATATAATTTACGTGTCTAGTTGACGTGTTCGTGTACCGTTAACCAAAGATTTCTCGTTATCTTCTCTTGTTATGTACACCAACATGGCTGCCATGCCTCTATTCTTGGTTAGCATGTGACATCATNACCGTTAACCAAAGATTTCTCGTTATCTTCTCTTGTTATGTACACCAACATGGCTGCCATGCCTCTATTCTTGGTTAGCATGTGACATCATCACCACCATGTTGGTGTACCGTTCACCAAAGATTTCTCGTTAGCTTCTCTTGTTATGTACACCAACATGGCTGCCATGCATGCCTCTATTCATTGTAAGCATGTGACATCATCACCGCCATGTTGGTGTACCGTTAACCAAAGATTTCTCGTTAGCTTCTCTTGTTATGTACACCAACATGGCTGCCATGCCTCTATTCTTGGTTAGCATGNTTAGCTTCTCTTGTTATGTACACCAACATGGCTGCCATGCCTCTATTCTTGGTTAGCATGTGACATCATCACTGCCATGTTGGTGTACCGTTAACTAGAGATTTCTCGATAGCTTCTCTTGTTATGTACACCAACATGCCGGCTGCCATGCCTCTATTCTTGGTTAGCATGTTTTAAAGAATCATCTAAGCTAAAGACTAAAGATTATTTTGTGTTGTTTTAACAGGCATAAAATCTCAAAATGTCRCTGGAAGGCTCATCAAGAGCTCTCAAATACCTGGTCGTTTTCTTCAACTTTCTTTTCTTCGTGAGTATGATATTGAAAAGTTATTTTATATTTCTTTATTTGAAAAAAAACAAAAAACAACAACAACAACTTTAAAGCCAACTAAGATATCTAGAAAAAGAAACGAACTGTTGAATTTTATGTCGTAGAGATATTATGCAAGCATACACACGAAAATATATACTATGTAACGTTGCACGTCACCACGCTATAAACCGTTTACTCAAGGTTGCGTGCGCATCCAACTTGACGGGCTACATAATTGGAAAACGCAAATTCAGTAAAATTGAAAAGCCAGTTTTATATTTAAAGAGGAGAATAATCGGTCTTATGAATTCTTATAGAAAAATCTTATGGAAATGTTTGATATTTTTCAATATAAAGCTCCTGTTCTGGTATCGTGGCCCGTCAAGTTTTTCTTCAATTTTGATGGGCGCGCAACCTTGAGGAAAAGGTCCATTATATAGACCCTTGTTGCATCGTTTGTTTCCCTCGTTTGGTAGCAGGCTAGTAACGCGCAACGAGGTTTACAGTGTGGTGAACACCCGAGCAACGTCTCTGTCTGGCAATGACGTGTTCTCAGCAATCTAATTTTTTTTTCTAATGATGGGCCGAAAAGACCTCTTAAGCTTAGGAGTACTTCATGGTCCGACCCAGACACAATAACGTGTCAATCATGACCGTTGCAGTAGTTTCCTAATTGAATACCACTGCACCAAATGTCGGATTGAAAGATTCAGTAATTTCTCTGAAAGTCAGAAGATTCAGCGAGAAGTTTGATATGTGAGAGAAGCGGCCATCTTGAAAATAAACTCATAATTCCAAATATGGCATCAAAACTACTACTACTACTATGCCTGAATATTCCACTTATCAACCCCCTTAACTGTAATGAGTTTCCGTTTGTACACATGCAACAATAGAAATATTGTTTTAATTAAGCCAAAGGGGGAAAATTTGAAAAATTTGTAGACTGCATATAGCTCTCAGGGTGTCTTTTTATATAACACACGCCTAAAAAGCAATATAATTTGCTGATCAAAATATGCAAATCACCAAGACTTCAAATTATTTGAAAATGCAAACCCGCCGCATACCATAAATTGAAGATGTCGGCCATATCAGTAAGAAAGTCTATTGAACTGTGTGTCGATTTGCTACGACCTCGTTCTCAGGGTCCTCTCGGCCAACTCCAATTCAATATGGCGGTCGTCAAGGAGAAGACCGTCTCCTCCCCGGTGACCGCCATGATTTGAAGTCAGCCGAGAGGACCCTGGGGACTATGTTGATCTGCTAACCTTAAACTTGGTTTCCTTTCTCCAACAGGCAATAGGCATTATACTTATAGGAGTCGGTTCATGGGCAGAGGTCAGATATGGTGACTTTGTCGATATAACCAGCCTCAACTATGTGACCGCTTCACGGATAATCATCGCTGTTGGCGTCATCGTGGCAGTCGTATCGTTCCTTGGCTGTTGTGGGGCCTGGAAAGAGAGTAAGAACGTGCTGTATGTGGTGAGTTTTCAGGGATAGAATGGGATAGAGTATAGAATAAAACAAAGTAAAATTGTCTTTGAATCGTGGGTGATTTTAAATTTAAACATAACGACTACACCGACAAAGACTACCCAGATAAATTTTCATGCAATTAAATTAGCCAATCACGATTAAGCATTTAAACGATAGAATCTGCACAAATTTTCTATCATTTTTCCCTTTAAAAGGCATATATTTTACGAGTGTGTATGATCAGGAGTGACAAGAATCAGTTTAAACTCCAAAATTCGACACCGTATTAAGCTTCAAAAACGTGATTTTTAAATTTGATTTAAAATTCTGTAGTCACACTGTAAGTATTCTTACTCATAATACTACCATTGATAATCGATTCATGTGATCGACGGATCTGAATCTTTATAAATAACCACCAATTAGATTTATGTAATATTCTTATTCCTTAGTTCTTCGCTATTCTTTTGATCCTGTTGATCTTGGAGATCGCCGGGGCTGTTCTGGGCTACGTTTATTCGGATAAGGTATAAGTCTATTATCACAATAATTCCCATGCACTCGCGAAATCTTACAGTTTGCCACCACAGGGGAAAGAAATAGGGTTTTGGTGTACGTCAATCAAAGCGTTTCCATGACATTGTCGGAAGACACAAAGCTTTCAAGGGCACGTGCCTATGGAATGTTACCTAGTTGCTATGACGATTCCACGTGTGCTATTAGCCATATTAATGTTAAAGGGGGGGGGGGGGGTGTTAGCATTGCAGTGCAATGAGGGACTGTTTTGGGGGACATATTTTCAAGATGGCGTCTATTTCGTTTCGTCCTTAAAATGCACAACGCACAATGCACTGCAATGAAACAGACCTCCTCGGCTCGGGCGTAATGTTTTCCCATTTCAGACCACCTGTCATTCCATAGAGTATCATTTCTTTGTTTAATGATTGCGCATGAGAAGACACATGAAAATGGATACAACTCAAACAAAGAATCTTATTCTCAAGACCATGTGTCATTACCTAGAGTATCATTTCTTTATTTAACGGTTGTGCATGAAAAAACACATGAATATGAATACAACTCAAACAAAGAATCTTACTCTCAAGGGAATGACAAAGTGCCTTAATTTAAACGGGAAAACCTTACGTCCAAGCTGAGGAGTGTCTATTTTTCTCTCCCAAGATAAAGCTTCAACTGTTTCTGGACCCGTTCAGTCTGCGTGACTCGAAATATGTCGAAATTTGTTTTCCTTTTTTCGTAGGTCAAGGAACAACTCAATAAAGATCTCAATAACGCTCTGCTTAATGATTATGGGAGTCAGGAAGGAACAACAAAAGCCATAGATGCTTTACAGGAAAAGGTATGTACAAATCCAAGTATACTAGATTCACATATTTAAATCCACTAAAATTACGATTAATCTAGGAGAACCTTAAAGAGGAATGCTTAGTATAGCCAACCAAGATGGCGGCTATGACGTAACACGCACCCCCAAGAATTAACAGAGAAGATCTATAGACTTCATTCGTGATGTGACAATGTTTTCCCCATTCAGCGTGACAAACTTCCAGCGGATTCATGTTTACATTCGAGAGTATTCCAAAGGATACGAAAGGAATAAAGATGATATCCCGACGAGTTGCAAAACAATAGCTGTTCATTCCCCCAGAGGTTTGTCATGTTCAATTGGGAAAACATCAGGAATAGGGTCGGTGTCCACTGGTAGAACGAAGCTTGGGATTGGACAAAATAACAAAAAACAAAGAAAGTATGGATTATGGTGGACAATGTGTATTGTTCTATATATGAGCTGCGTTCTTTGTTTTATCTCACCATTCATTGTTTGTTCATCCACTCCCGGGCTTCTAAGGTCTATTATCAACGAAGCTTGTTACTGGGTTGCCTGTGGAAGCCCAGTCTCAAAATGCGTTGCGTGTCTCCGTATTTTCCTGCGTCAGAAAATGCCAAAATTGCGCAATAGTACCCAGGGGTCTTCCCGGCACTACCCAAGAGTCCTTTGCGGACATATGATACAGAGATCCCGTGTGAAGTCTGATTTATCAAAGTGATTGATTGGGGGTGGGGCTGTGAATCACTCGTTGGAAATTGATGTCTACGCCTTGCTACGCATATTCTTTTTTCGTCGTTGCTGAAATTCAAGGCCCAGTGCAGGATTAGGGATTACTCGTGTGTATAAACTGAACAAGAAAGTTCAAGATGCCGTGAAAAGATCTTTTAATTGTCTACTCAAATGTTTAATCTTAGCTTCTCAAAGCAATATCCTATACAGAAAGGGTTTAAGATTAATAGCTCTAACTTAAACTAGGAAAAATAAGGCTTCAAATCTTCCCGTGGGTGAAAAAATGTCTTATTAATAAAGTTGGCGACCTTCATTTCCCCGTTGTAGATCGTCTTCACCTTTGTTTGGCGACCTTCAATTCCCCGTTGTAGATCGTCTTCACCTTTGTTTGGCGACCTTCAATTCCCCGNTCGTCTTCACCTTTGTTTGGCGACCTTCAATTCCCCGTTGTAGATCGTCTTCACCTTTGTTTGGCGACCTTCAATTCCCCGTTGTAGATCGTCTTTCACCTTTGTTTTAAGTCATTTTTACTTGCCAGAATTTTTACTTGAAATTTATTTTTGCAGTTTCATTTATTTCCTTCGGGGACTTTCCTCTGCTAGATTTCGATTTGACCCATTTGGGCTTTACAGGAATAGGTTGCTCAAAAATAGAAAAGTTTCTATATTAGTAAATTCTATTGCTTCAAAAATCCAAAAAGAAAAACGACAAAAAGAGGCAAAAGCGTGAGTAGGTATGATGTTTAGGTCACCCATCCAAGTGCTAACCCTCCCCAGACGAGCTTGACTAAGTATCTTGAACGACAACGATTTATCGACTGGACCACGGTTCCA